AAAAAAAAAAAAGCATGTTCTTCTCAAACAAACAACTCCAGAAACAAATACTTGGCTTCAGGGTCAACATAAAATCCTCCCTTCAACTTTGCTCCAAACCCACTATCCAAGCAGGCTGTAACACCGGATGGAGTGTCGGTCCGTCACTTCCTTGGCCGTGAAGGTAGGGGTCAGGCAGAGATCTAGATCGGATGGAGGTGGTTTCTTAAATTCCTTTTCCATCTTTCGCTTTGGCGAGACCTTGGATCTCGAATTTGTAAATATGAAGTTCGAGTTCAGATTCATTGTTTCTTGGAGCTTCCGAGTATCCGTCCAAGTTGCTTCCGAAGTTTCATCGGATGCTAGTGGAGAAACCATCAACTCCGACAACGGCCGAAGGGTTCCACCAAGGAGAACAGTCTCCACCGCCACTTGGCACACATGCTAGTTCCCCATCCACAGTAGCCTTACCGCGCCATTCACCGAATTCACCATCCTTCCGCACGCTTCAAACAGCAAGGATTGACACAACTTTGAAACACAAACACAACACAACACATGACACAAGCAATTGAGCACAAAATTGAAAAATCCAAATCCAATCCGAGAAATGTGAGAAAATAATAATAAAAAAAAGGACACACTAGGAAGCTGGAGTTGTTTGTTTGGGAAGAACATGCTTTTTTTTTTTTTTGGCAAAGATTGAGAACCCAACTTGCGCCTGGGTTTGTGATGAACCCAGGCGCAACCTGGGTTCGTTGACAACCTAGTCATGTGAGAAAATAATAATAAAAAAAAGGACACACTAGGAAGCTGGAGTTGTTTGTTTGGGAAGAACATGCTTTTTTTTTTTTTGGCAAAGATTGAGAACCCAACTTGCGCCTGGGTTTGTGATGAACCCAGGCGCAACCTGGGTTCGTTGACAACCTAGTCTTGCGAGTTGGGTTCATCCTGGGTTTGCAAAGAACCCAGGACGAACCACCCAGGCGTGCTTTGGGTTCGTCGCGAACCCAAGATGAACTCGGGCGTAATGAACCCAAGTCACGCTTGGGTTCGCGACGAACCCAGCAAAGGTCTAAAAAAAAAAAAAAAAAAGAGATGATAATGGAGGGAAAGGAAAGGATAAGACAGAAGGGGGAAAAAATGGGGGCAAATTAGTGAAGATTTGAGGGCTTTGATGGAGGAAGGTTTGGCGAAGAAGAAGAAATCAATGGGATTAGAGGGGGATTAAGTTCAGGAAAAGGTAAAGAGGATCGGGGATTTGGGCTTAGGAAGAAGATGAGGATAGAAATGGGAAATGAAAAGATAAATGGAAATAATGATTTTTTTCTTTTAATTATTTTAATTATTTTAGGACTTATTGATTACATGGAAAATAAATTTGATTGCCAACTCATCAATTTTGCCACGTGTAATCCTATGTCACCATTAAAAAGAAAAAAAAAAGACACTTAATGGATAATTGTGCCATGCTGTCACTTAACTGACAGAATGACTAAAAAGGGGCCGGATTTCAAACAGTAAGGATCAAAAATGAGATTTTTTTGATATAGGAACTAAAAAAGCGCTTTTTCTTATAGTAGAGGGACCAAAAAGAGTATTTAACCAAAAACTTATAATTTGTGATCCCATTCATTAATCCAAAAAAGACTAAGAGAAAGAGAGTATCTCTTACTCTCTGTGCTCCACTTCATCGTCCATTGGTGATTGGTCCCTTCAATTACAGCAGTAGCAGAGGTCGAGATTGCAGTGTTTCTTTCTTTGATTCAAAAAACTGAAAAGAGAATGGACTATTTCTAGTAGGTAAGAAATTTAAAAGCATAAAAAACAATTGTGATTTCGTTGATTTAGTACCTTGATTTGATAACTCGATTCCTTGAATTGTTTTTCCTTTTTAAGTTGAATGTTGAGCGAAGATACAGAACCAGTAGGTAGTGACAGTTGTACGAATAGCATAAAAAATTGGTTTTTTTTTTTTTTTTAAGTTAAAGTAGTAATTGATTTTTAATAAGGTTTTTGAAACCTAGATTATAATTGGGCTTATGATCAGAACCCACCATTTTAATGGGTAAAATCCTTTTTTATTTTATATATCTTAACATTTAAAAATACAATATTTAAAATGTAATAGTTAAAATTAATCAATTAATGTATATATTAATTTCTTTTTTTAAATCCTAGGGGGGGAACAGCACCCAGGTTTCCAAGAGGATCCGCCCGTGATCATGGCATTACCATGGAAGTAAGTATGAAGGAACAAGGAAGAACACGATGCTTGAATTGTTGAATTTGTGGTGTCAAAGTTGCAACAGTTGGCAGCAAATGAAATGAGGTGAGAGTTGCACCGACAGTAGCAGCAACATGACAGCCACATGGAGTTGCACAAAATTACTGCAATTTTTTTAATGTAATTTTACTTTAAATGTTTGATAATTTTTTTCTATTAAATAAATATTAAGTAAAAAAAATATTATTTTACATTGTGTTATTTCTGTTACAAATAACAAAATATTAATAGAAGAAAATGAAGTTTTACCTCCCAATAAGAGGAACTCCAGGTATCTTTTCCTTCTCCTCCAAGTCTTCTCTCCACACTTTCCAAAAAACGCCAACATGAATCGTTATCAATCAATAATCATAGGAATCCCTGTCAGTTATTGAATGAGGAAATTATCTAGGCTATCAAAATTTGGGCTGTGCTGGTGTCATCAATTCTTTAAATAAAGAACCATTAAGACCCTCATTCATCAAAACCAACAAACCAACATAATCTTGTTTCTCACTCTGTTCTTACTGAATTATGTCCAAGATGAAGCCATTGAAGCTTAAGCTTCTTGAAATTTCTCTATTTTTTGTGATTTTATGTTTCACAGACGTGATAGCAGAGCAACACAAAAAAACTTACATAATCCACATGGACGAGACTAACATGCCGGAGAGCTTCACCAACCATCTCCAATGGTATGATTCATTGTTGAAATCTGTTTCGGACTCTGCATCCATGCTTTACATTTACAGCAATGTAATCCATGGCTACTCCACGAGGTTAACGACTGAGGAAGCCGAAGCACTCGAAGAGCAGCAGGGGATTCTCTCTGTAATTCCTGAATTAAGATATGAACTGCATACTACTCGAACCCCGGAGTTTCTTGGGTTGGGAAAAGGTAGTGCGGTATTTCCTACGTTTGAGTTGGCGAGCGGTGTGATTGTCGGTGTGTTGGACACTGGTGTTTGGCCGGAGCTAGAGAGTTTCAATGACGAAGGGCTTGGGCCAGTACCGGAAAAGTGGAAAGGCGAATGTGAGGTGGGAAAGACCTTCAAATTGTCCAGTTGCAATAAGAAACTAATTGGTGCGAGGTATTTTTCAAAAGGGTATGAAGGAGCGGTCGGACCTATTAACGAAACTGTAGAATCAAAATCGCCTAGAGATGACAACGGACATGGAAGTCACACCTCAACAACGGCAGCTGGATCGGCTGTTTCCGATGCTAGCTTATTTGGTTTTGCTTCAGGGACGGCACGAGGGATGGCTACAAAAGCTCGAGTCGCCATTTACAAGGTGTGCTGGCTTAAGGGCTGTCTTGGGTCAGATATTTTAGCCGGCATGGACAAGGCAGTCCAAGATGGTGTGGATATCATGTCCTTGTCTCTAGGTGGACAAACATCAGAGTATTACAAGGACATCATCTCCATCGGAGCATTCTCGGCGATGACACATGGAATTCTTATATCTTGCTCAGCTGGAAATGTTGGGCCCTACCCAAGTAGGTTGTCCAATGTTGCACCGTGGATAACTACAGTAGGTGCCGGAACTTTGGACCGTGATTTCCCCGTCTCTGTTACTCTAGGAGATGGCCAAAAATATTCAGGTGTCTCACTTTACAATGGAAAGACAATATCGAATTCCATGGTGCCAATTGTTTATGCCGCCAACGTGAGTAGTTCAAGCAATGACAGCCTTTGCTTACCTAGAACCTTGATTCCTGCTAAAGTTGTTGGAAAAATCGTGGTATGTGATCGAGGGGGCTCAATGGTGAGGAAAGGATTTGTTGTGAAGGAGGCTGGCGGAGTTGGGATGATTTTAGCAAACACAAAATTTTTTGGTGAAGAGCTTGTCGCCAGTGCACATATCTTGCCTTCATCAGCGGTTGGGGAAAAAACTGGAGATGCTATCAAGAAATACATCTCCACTGAAGCTAATCCAACGGCCACAATTGGCTTCGGGAGCACAGAGTTGGGCGTTCAGCCATCTCCGATGGTGGCAGCGTTCAGTTCAAGAGGCCCAAATCCAATCACGCTAGAGGTACTTAAACCAGACATTATTGCACCGGGAGTCGAAATATTGGCTGGGTGGTCTGGGGCCGTTGCTCCAAGTGAATTGGAAGAGGACAAAAGGCGGGTAAAGTTCAATATCATTTCAGGCACGTCAATGTCTTGCCCACATGTAAGTGGGATAGCCGCTCTCCTCAAGGCTGCCCATCCAGAGTGGAGTCCAGCAGCCATTAGATCTGCCCTTATGACCACCGCCTACTCAGCATACAAAAATGGCAAAAGCATCCAAGATGTTGCCACCGGACAACCAGCAACACCATTCGCTTATGGTGCAGGGCATGTGGATCCGGTAAAAGCCTTTGATCCTGGCCTTGTTTATGACACCACTGTTGATGACTATCTTGACTTCCTTTGTGCCTTGGGCTACACATCAAGTCAAATCAAGCGAGTCACAAATAGAGACTTCACCTGTGATTCAAGCAAAAACTACTCACTAGCAGATTTCAATTATCCATCCATTTCAGTTCCTCTTCAAAGTGCTTTAGGAAAGAAAGGTGGTGCTAGTGTCACAAGCACATTGAAATATTCTAGAACTCTGACTAATGTAGGTTCACCTGGAACATATGAGTTTTCAGTGGTTTCACAGACAAAAGCAGTGAAGATCTTGGTTGAACCAGCATCGCTGAGTTTCAGTAAAAAATATGAGAAGAAGAGCTATACCGTAACTTTCACTACTGGTTCCATGCGATCTGGAACAGCCAGCTTTGCTAGTCTGGTATGGTCAGATGGGAAACACACTATAAGTAGCCCGATAGCTTTCACCTGGAAATGATAGTGATGGCAATTGGAGCAGGTCAACAGCTGATGACTCTCCAAATACTAAGACTGCAAAGAAGTCTTATTATTATTATTATCTTTTTATTTTTTATTGTACTCTTTTCTCTTCACATAGGAGCAACCGTGCAACCAAAGCTAGTCGTGTGTGTAACAAAACATACTCCTCCAAAATCAGGGGACAAGAAAAACTTAAAAAAAGGGTTGGGGGATTGGGGTTGCAAATAATTGTTCAATAAGCCATGTTAGGGACTGGCATGTGAATTTTAGACTGAATTCCTACTATTTGTACTTAGACTGGCATGCAAATTTTAGACTAAATTCCTAGTATTTGTACCTAGACTTGCATTAAATTATGATCTTTCATGGTTACTGATTTCATAATTTGTACTTATAAGAAATCAAGGAATCAAGGATTGTTAATATACTACATAATTTTGAGTCTCCTTCGTTAGTCCGTATAGCAGTAGCTAGTAGAAACAAATATAAGGAATAACAGTGGCTAAAGATATGATTATGGACATATGCTTGGGGGATGTTGGAAAACTCAAACGCAAAGAATAAAGCGACAAGCTAAATTTCACCAACATATAATCATTTTTAAAACAAAGAAAAACACAGATTAAATTGAAAACTGTTTACCATTCAACAACAGCTATTAATGTATCTCCTACAAATCATGTCAGTTTATAGCGTGTTTCAAGAGACGTGACTCCAATAGCATGTATTTGTGTTGCAGTATTATGCATCTAGAATGTCAATAGAAGGGACATATCAAAGGATGAAAATAGGAAGCTTCTCCTTAAGGAGCTAGTAACTCTATTTAAAACTGTAAGTTATTGCAAGATCAGTTGAGCAATTGGTGATAAACTCAATCCTTGTATAGTTGTGTAGCAGGCTAATGCTCCTTGTGCCGTTCGGGACTTGTATAGCTTTCATCCAGAAGGCTGCAGCACATTCTTTGCAAAAGAAGATCGATAACAGATAACAAAAGACATCTCATAGTTACTTGACACTAGCATTCCACAGTTCCGATTCTAACATTACAGATATGCCGAAATCATTCAGAGTACCATTGAGACTAACAAACAGGAAGGTAATATGTATCAAGCTGCCAATACTTATGTCTCACACCTTGCCAAACTTTTTCTCTCAAGCAATCCTTAACAGGCAAGGGGATTAATTGTGTTGAGTAGCCCAAATTCTCAAGCTCTAGCAAAACTAGATGGTAGTAAACAACAGGGAAGAATGCATTGTCTCCACAAAGGCCATTGAAGAATGAGTATATTCCTCCAGGCTTCAATAGCTTAGGAAGATGATGATGAAGCTCCCGAAGATCTTCATAATATTCTCCACATGTGTCAAAGAAAATACCTAAATGGATTGAAAGAGTAAGAAAATATACTTCTACAAATGAAATAAGCCCCATGCTAGGAAATGCCAACTTTAGCATTTAAAAATTTAAAGTAAATTTTAGGGTAGTGAAGTCGGTTTCTTTATGGTTCTTTTAGCCTTGATAAATGGCAAAAATATATATATATATATATATATATATTTAGCCTTCAACAGAACTTATTCTGGGTGCACAGCGGATGGCTTTCAAGATATGAAGTGCTTCTGGAGGAAAAATTCAACTAATTTTAAATTACAATCGTAAGATTTGAGATACGAAAGAAAGTGTACTACCATAAGATTCAAGTTGAGAAAGAACAACTTGCCAGCGGCCTAATACTATTTAAACATTATCTTTCTCAACCAACCAGTGCGAAGCATGCGTGAATAGACCTCTAGATGGGCCTCTACAATTGTGTGTGTGGCTGGAGCATACTGTTGAATGGCTGTATCAGCAAGGCCCATTCCAAATCCAATGTTTAGCATACGACCACCTCTAGAGCAAACAGCTTTTGCGCTATTCATCCGTGTGGCTCCAATGGCTATGCTTATCTTTGAGAAGCAAAGTGAAGGCACTCCCTGGAGGCATAACATTTGAGTCTTAGAATTAATAATTCTCCTTTTTCTTAACAGTAGACACTAAAATTATTAGTGTAATTACTATTTTTCAAAAAAAAAAAAGTGTTTGCATGAGCTTCCATCAAAGGTTTCTCCTAAGCCATATCATGACATCGTTGCCATTTGATTTGAGTACTCCAACAACTTATCCTCACTAAAAGAAACCCTATCTTCCCCGTAAGCATCATTAGAATCACCATCCTTTTCTACTTTCCTCACAATGGTTCTCAAAATCAACTCAGCTTGAGTTCCTGCTCAAGTAAAGAAACTTAGTTATCCATATAGAAGACTCATTTTCCAGGAAGGCAACAAGCCCAAACCAACCATATCAAACATTATTGAATACATATATGTATAATTAGCAACCTTAAATAAACTATAATTGATGTGTTGATGTCCACTAAAGAGTAAAATTTATATACATATTAATGCAAAATTTTTATCTTGATATTATTGATTTTTAGATGAATTTTATGAGATTTTACTTGATTTTACATAATTTTCATTCGTTGTGTAAAAAAGAATTTAATTCGAAGAAATCAAAACTTTTAGGACCAAAATGAAGAACTTAGAAAGATGAGGATCAAATTGTGCAGAAACTAGAATTTATGGGCCAATTCTGTCATTTTACTATAAGCCAAAATTAATCCCTCATTATGTAATTTTCATTCTGTCATTTTATCCAATAAAGGGACTTTTCTTCATGAATACAGTGCAGGCGTGCGTCAGTAGTAATACTTTATTTTGAGGGTCGACCCCTGTGATTTTCGTAAGTTTGTGCCTCCCTTTATTATTTCAGTGTGGGTTTTAGATCTATTTTAATTAGATTTTATAAAATCTCTTATTAAAATAAATGATTAAGATAAATAATTTATCAATAATAAAAAGTAAACACTTTTAATTTTTTAATTAAATTTTATTTTATTTAGATTATTTTTATCCATGTTTAATATTTTTATATTCATAATTATAATTTCAAGTTTCATTATTTTTATTCTAAACTAATTTAGTAAATTAAGACTATGATATAACTTAATCAAATTAATATAAATATTTAGATTTTTATGCTTTTAATTAAAATTATTCATATGATAAGTTTTTATTGTTGAACTTAATGTTTCACAAACTTGATTACCTTTTGATGATTATATAATTTATGTATAAACTTAAGAAAGAATTGTGTAAATCAAATTAATAACAATATAAATTATGTATTAGACTATGAAATTGAAAGGTAATTAACATTATATGTGGTAGTGGAGGAAGAGAAAAAAAGTTCGAAACTTCCACTTCTTAAAGATAGAGGTTTCCACGTTGCTTAATGCTCATTGGCTTATTTTAAATTATATTGAGATAGAACTAATTTAATAAACATGTGATGAATTAACTTAACTTGAGAAAATTAGTTAGTTAATTTAAAAAAATTCACCATTATATGTAATAACACTTAACAAATTAATTTTAAAATAAATTGATTTAAATTTTATATTGATTGATTATGATAAAATCAAATGCTTAGTACCTTATGTTTTGATTCTCTTTATTTTAATTATTATTTTTTAGTTGTTTTTAATTAAATTTTCTTTATCTTTGATTTTTTAAATAAATTTAAAATTAATTATTTTTGATATTTTGTTAATCACAATTTTTATAAATTTTTTACTTTTTTTCATCATTATATTAGTTGAAGTGACTAATGTGAGTGATTTTAGTGCATCATCCACGATAATTATGCAATGTCCATGCCTGTAACAGTGTCCATTGTTCTTTCTAGGCGTGCGAAATTGCATGTGTTGTTAAGTTAGATCATAAACCAAAAACGACTCATTTGTTAGGTTGATGTGTAAACCTGCGATCAATAAAATTCAAGCAAGTGCTTTCAAAAGAATGATTGACTACTCTTCATTTTCTCACCTCTGTGTCTTGACAAGGTTGGCCATTGACACTTGACTTATGAAACTCAATCCATATACCTGCATATCTAAGGCATGTACATGATTAACTGGTTTCAGTTATTCATTTCAGCCGCCTATCTATCCTTGGCCTTCCATCACTAAAACTAAGAATCTATTTCATTGACGATGTTAAGCCCCATAACACTAGGTTTTCAAACTTCTCATCTTTCTTTTTCTTTCCCTCTTCTATATATCCAAGAAATCCATGCGAACTAGCCCAAAGTACTCGATGAACTATTGAACCATCAAGGACAAGGATTCGACAAGTATTGACCCTAAAAAGCCAAAATTCATGATGAATTCCATTAAATTTTCGAACTTTAAAGTACACATAATAAAGGAGTAATCAAATGGAACAGAAATTACACAAGTACCAGCATTTAGGAGGACTTCAAATGCATCTTGGTGACCTAAAATCACCATCGGAGAGATTTGATGGAGAAAGTGCGTTCCATGGCGCACCAGCCTCAAGCAACGCCTTAACTACACCGGCATGGCCGAGTTTGGCGGTGTGCATAAGCGGCGTGAGGCCATTGCTCTTCAACAAATCTCTATATCCCATTAAAGCAGCAAATTTTTCAATATAGTTTCCTTCTACGTCCTTAAGGACTATGTTTTTTGCTCTAGCCATCATGCTTGTGTAAACTCTTAAGTCTAAGCTCATCATCACATGCTTGCTTTAATTCCCTCAACTTAATGAGATGGCTTGAATCAATTTTTGATTTCAAGTAGCTTGCAGGAAGCCAAACTGTAATTGCTATGGGGTTATCTTTTCTTCTAAAGCAATTACGTGTTCTCACATATGAAACAATTCTGAAGCTCTCCTCTATTATGGTTGATGGCACATATATACCACTTACAAAGTGCCGCTGTGTACTGCAGCTTTTGACAATCTCTGTCATTTTTAAGCCATTTGAAAACACATCCTTTTCTTTAGAACATGTTCTAATAGCTTTCTTGAACTCTTCACAATTTTTAAACCTCATCCCAATATCAAAGATAGGAATAACATTCTTTGGATAAAAAATTGGTATGTTATTTTCCTTCTCACTGCATCTTTGATCACCATGAATTCATCTTTAGACATGTCAGAATCATGAACACTAAGATCATCACTATCAAAGTAATATAAATCTGCATCTGCAACACATGTATTAGAGTCTACAATCGTGGTATCATCACCAACAGGCATTTTATCAAAGGCATTTAGATAAAAAGGCTTTTTCCTCATCGTTTTGATGGTGGGATTAAATTTGTTTAATAGAGGTAGGATTGGATCAAGTGTTGGATAACAGTTATCTTGTCTTAAGCACCTTTCAAACTTAAGATTAGGTGGAATGAGATTAATTTTGTATCTCATCCTATAGTTTGTCCTACCTTTTAAACAAGCTGTTAGTACACAAAATAAAAAAACTCAATTCTAAAAAATGAGCGATCAATAGTTTAAAAAATCGAGCCGACAAACAATCAAACACAGAAAATGACACGCTAGCAATCTCGTGCTCCAATTTGCATCCACAGCCAACTTCTTAGACGATTTTTCTACCTGTCACTTATCAGATATGTAAGAGTATAATTAATATATTTTTTAATTATTAAATTATATAAAAATTTTAAAAAATAAATATTAATTTTAACATCAATGTAATATGTATTAATTTAACTTTTTAGTTATTAAAATTAAAATCAAATCTTATTTTTTATATATAACTTAATAACTTTGAAATATATTAAATACATTCTTAACATTTACCTTTAAAACACATGTTAAAAAAACTCTTTCTTATAACATTTCAAGCCAACATCCATTGAAAACCCACTAATCCACAAATCCTTCCAATTTCTTGTTGGGTTTTTCTAATATGTGTTCTTAAAACACATGTTAAGAGTATCATTTTATCATAAATGCATATAAAAATGTAAAAATTGATACTAATTTTAGTGTTGGGCCAAGTAGATAAATTTAATTAGATAGTTGATAAATTAAAAGTTAATTTTTATATTTTCAATATAAATTTATGACAAAAAAATGTAATTATTGCATCCACAAAGGTAGAGACAGAATCAAAAATTTATATCAGGAGGCAAAATTTTAAAATTTTTGTTAGTCAATTATCAATTTATATAATATAATTTATATTAATTTTTAAATCAATTATTAATTTTATGCATGTCCCACTTATATTATATCTATGTCAAATTTGAAATTAACTAAATATATTTAACTTTTTTTTGTCAACATATTTAATTATTTTCAAATAACATATAATTGACAACCCTTAAATAAATAGTATAAAAATATAATTTTTTTATAAGATTACATATATTGAATTAATTTTAAGTTTGGAATATGTAATTAGTATAAATAAAATAGATTTAATCATTAGTTTAATAAAATATTAATTATAGAAGCAAAAATTATATATAACTAATATAAAAACTCATATAAATTATATTTAATATAACTAAACTTAGAATTTTTTTATATTTGTTCTACCTAGGGAAAGTATTATATCTTTATAAGAATTAATCACAAATAATTTTTTTACCTAAATCGATCATAAATATTTTCTTTATATTTAAATTATCATTACAACTAAAACTTTAAAAATAAAATTTATAAAAATACAAAAATATTTATACTATATTTAACATTTTTTAAAAGTTTAAGAGGGGCTGCCCCTTGTCCCACGCTGGCTCCATCCATGCTTAAATGGGCGCATATTAAAAATACTTTTTTTTTTACCATTTTGTTTAGAAACTCGTATCTTTTCTATGAGAAAAGGTTTAAGGTTTCAAATTCCGCAATTTTATTGAATGGACTAATGTGTAAAAGAAGATAACCATTCTCTGGTAACCTATGTCTTAAGAATGTAAATACATCTTTTTTATAATAAATTTACATTAAAAGAATAAAAGTTAATTTTTAATTTATTAATTATTTAATTAAATTTATTTATATAATAAAATTAATATTAATTTTTATATTATTTTATATAAATTTATAATAAAAATATATCTACACTTATGCCTTTGAGACAAGGCACATGTTAGAAAAGGACTGTGTTATGACCACACCAAACAAAATGTTAAGACTAGTAAAAAAAATATAAAATATTATCTTTTAAAATATTAATTATATATAATTTAATAAATAAAAAATTTAATAATTATAATTAATAATTAATAATTAATAAAATAATTAATATTAACTAATTTATTTATTAAAATTAATTAATAAATTAATATTTTAAATACAATTTTAAAAAAGAAAACTAAGAATTAATAGTTCTAATAACTTTTCTATTTAGAAACTTCTATCACGTTCTAGCACAAAAGCTAAATATCGAGCACTTAGAGACACCATATTAGAGTTACTTAATTTACGTTGGCTGCTAGGAGATATAGGTGTTCTTCAACCGCCTATTACTAATCTTTATTGTGACAATCGGAGTGCCATGTAGATTGCTCATAATGATGTGTTCCATGAATGCACTAAACACATTGAGGTTGTCTGTCACTTTGTTCGCCATCATATTGCACAAGGAACTGTTCATTTGGTTTTCATTGGCTTCGTTGATCAACCGGCAAACCTTTTTACCAAAGCTCATTTTTCTAGACGCTTTCGTACTCTTCTTTCCAAACTCAAGTTGGTTTCATCACAACTAGATATGACAATTTCCTCCACAACCCACGGAGCTTCATGGAGATCCTCGCCATGGGGATGGAGATTCCAAAAATATTCCTCCCATGGGGTGGGGATAGAGACACTTTTTTCCCCATGAAATTTCGCAGGGAACCGTGGAAATCCATATAAAATAAAATAAATATAAATTTATGTTTATATATTTTTTTTTGTAAATATATTAACAATTAATTTTTATTTATCCAACCTAATTAGCTAACCCAATACCAATACAACCTAAATTTCACAACCCATTCTTTTTTCAGTTTTCCCAAACCTAATTGTTAAGTCCAACCCATTCTTTTTGTCAATCTAGTCTTCCTAAACCTAATTGCCAACACAATTTGCATTGGTAACCCTAGAAGGACTATCCAAAGATTTCAATTTTAGATTTGCAATTCCTCTTCTCTAGTCTCCTTTGTGGCTCTACGCTGTAACTCTGTTTCTGTTCCTCAATCCTCATCTGTGATTCCCTTCAAACTCTCACCGTCACTACCCATTGTGCAATCACTGCAACACTGATCTTCTCTCATCTCTCACTCACACTTGACTCGATAACTCTTCCCCAATCTCTCAACCAGTCACTAGTAACTGATCTCTTTTATGCTCTTTTTCTTAATGAACTTATTGCTGGACATGTATGGTAATAGTTTATACATTTTATTTTCTATGAACTTTGCTTATGACAATTGCAAGTTATGCTCTCTTTTTCTTTTTCTTTTTTATGAACCTTTTGCTAGATTTGTTGGACTTATATGGCAGTTTATGCCTTTTGTCTTTATGAACTTGTTGTTGACTTGCCGGATCTGCTTGACATGTATATATTGGTTGTGTATACTTACTGCTTATTTGTCTTGTTTCAAATTTTTACTTTATATGATTATTTGAGCTAGTTTTATTTGATGAATGTGGAAACCAATGGAGTTTAAGCAGACCTATGTTGAGCTTAATTTTGATTAACAAGTAGCGGAGCAAGTGATAGTTTTATTTGGCGAGGACCTATCATCCTCTCCGGGTATGAGGGCGGAGGTTATTTTTGAACCTCTGCCAAAAATCCCCATGAGAATCCTTGTACCTGCCATTGGCGAGGATGGGGATGGGGAGGGGGTCCCCGCGTCTGTGGAAACCCGTTGTCATCCCTAATCACAACTACCTTGAGTTTGAGGAAGATGTTAAGATGTAAACACAATTATATTCACAATTATTATAAATATTTTATTCCTCAGAATATTATCTTTGTATACCTTAAAATATTATTTTTGTAAACATTTATATATAGGTTATTATACATACAATATTATTCATGAAAATAATAAACTTTCTTCAAATATTTTTGTTTTATTTTTTTTTTTTTAACAAATCTAATACTCACATAGATTTAGGCTTTAAAAAAAACTTTTGCGAACAAATTTGGAAGTAAAGAACAGATCTTAAAGACAGTAGAGAAAAAAAAAAAAAAAGAGAGAATAATAAAGAAGGAAAGAAGAAAACCTGGAAAGAGCGAAGGAGCGAATGGAGGGAAAGGCAGCAACTGATCCAGGAATTGTACAGGTGGGACTTGCAGTTTTTTTTATAGGAACGGCAGATGCATATGCCATCAAAACGACATCAACAATTACTGTATTGGGCGGCTTAGCTCATTGAGGCTATTGGAAGTGACTTTAAATAGGTTTAGGTAGCATTCCCTTCTTGTGATTTATTGGTGGTCACTGCAGCTCAACAGAACTGTCGATGGATTGTACCCTTAATCAATTGTCAAACTTTACTAAGAGTAAGGTATTAATCTAATTTTTAACTTTTAACTTTTAATCATTATCCTTATAAAAAAAAAAAAAAATTTAGGTAAAAGATTAATTTAATAGAAGAGGTGAAATAATCCAATTCTTAATAAAACGAATCGTTTCACCGCGATGACCTGTTCTTATGTTTTCCAGTTTTAGGAACAAAATTTTTTTTTTTTTTTTGGCTTTCTTCGAACTAAGTCTTATACTGTTATACACGGAGAAAAGTTTTACTCCACAGAGCATCCTCTACGGAATTTTCCTTTCTTAATTTTAAAATAATTCTTATTTTTTTCACTTTAAATATATTTTAAATTAATTATTTTTTTATTTTTTAAGATAAATGTATTTTTTTTACTTTAACTCTATTATATTATAAATAAATATAAATATTTTTTTTAAATCTTTAATTTAAAGAAAAAAATAAAAAGATAATGGTTATTTTGAGATAAAAAAAAGTATTATTAATGTAATTTTTTACAATGAGTTTATTACCATTTTTAAAAAATCAATGATATAAATTAGCATTATACCTATAATTATATGTTACCAAACGCATAGCTATTTTGTGTACCACGCCAAGTAAAATTGTGTAGATATGGTTCTCCTCTTCCTGTGGGTTTCTTTTATGTATATGAGTATATCTTAAGTTTATATACCTACAAACAATAAACTATAGCCAATAGCTCTGTGTACCTACACTAAGCAAATTGTGTAGGTATGGTCCTTCTTTTTTCTACCGTCTTTTATATATGCAAATATAATTTAATCTATATACCCACAAACTATAAATTGTAACATATAGGGATTTGTATTTTGTACTCACAAAATTTTGAACATAGGTTAAAAAAGCATAGATGTATGGCAAATTTGCTGTAGTGATAGTTATTACATCTAGACAGAGTCAAAAATTTATGTTAGAAGGGTAAAATTTTAAAATTTTTGTGAGTCCTTTAGCTGTTTATATAGTATAATTTATATTAGTTTTTAAATTAATCATTAACTTTATGCATGAACCACTTATATCATATTCATGCCAAATTTTAAATTAACTAAATATATTTAACTTTTTTTTCCCAACATATTTAACTATTTGAATATCATATAATTTACAATCATTAAATAAATAGTATAAAAATATAATTTTTTTTTGTAAGATTA